TTTGGAGTAATACTAATCGACTGGTCTAGGGGGATTCCGCGTCGTACTTAGTTTTAAGTCGGCGTAATTGTCCCCCAAAAACCAACACCCTCCCGTCCCTCCTCCATACCCCACCGAGCGTATAGCATAGGCTCGGCGAACCCGGGAACGGCTATTAAAACTATTCGCCTCTCGTTCTCGAGCCCCAAATAGGGGACAGTACGGAACGCAATGGACATTCGCACCCAGCAAACACGGGTGAAGCCGTGCAGTTGCTGGGGAAGAACAAAAATCGGCGTAAGTAAACATAGGCCTGTACGGGGTTCGAGAGTCAAGAGGAAATGGGGCTGGTTATACGTCTCTTATACTCATACTCATACTCATATCAAAATTTAATCTTAATCTGATTCAATAGCCACAATTGACACATCTCCCAGACGTTCATCGCTCATTGCAGATCTTGTATAATTTTTTATTCTCGCCAAGACGGTGAACGAACTTTCCACTGAACAGTTGGACGCAGGGATCGTCAAAACAGGTCTTAGTGCGATTTCAACATATGGGTATAAATCTTGTAGAACTTTGCAACCTTTAAAATATTTTTGGGCATTCTTCAAATTCTTTTAAAAGATCAAAAAAAACCTATACACTCGTTTACAAAATTCTCAGATTTTGTTAAGTCCTTATCATATAGAACCCATATTGATTCCGATAAGAAAACGAATTTGGTTTTATACGGTTTTAAAGGTCCTATATGTAACATCCTGGTTTACATTACGGCGTCTGTATAGTGAATTCCATTTAAAAATTTACCACATTTATATAGATTTATCTGTGCTATATGTCTTTTCGGTTAAATAGGAAATTCCATAATAAAATGTATAACTTAAAGACATTGCATAGTTTTATCTAGTTTTTGTTCTATATATCTTTCATAATGGGTTTCCTTATATGGCAATCCATATAGAAAGCCTTTTTTCTACTCCTATTAAGGAATTTGACCGTTCTAATATCACTTTTGTCTATGGAATGACACAAGGGCGTCGCCAGAGAGGGGCAGGGGGGGGCAGCTGCCCCCCCTAGAGGTTAACGCTCACAAGTCACCCTGCTAATTGAAACGAAAAACTGAGTGTTGTGGAAATCCTTAAGGAAACTGAAGATTTTTTTCCTGAAATTAAGAAGGCTTTAAAGATCCTTGTTGCTTTACCTTGTACGACTGGTACAGTTGAAACGTCATTCAGTAGCCTCAGGAGAATCAAAACCTGGTTGAGGAGCACCATGTTTGAAACTCGACTCAATGGCCTCGCAATGATAAGTGTACACAGGCAACACATTTTCAAAAACTTGGACGATTTCGTCAACAAAGTGTGTAGTTATTTTGTTCGTTTTTTATTTTTTTTATGAAAACTTCTTTTTTTAATTTTTCTCTTGTTCTTATATGCTGCCCCCCCCCCTAGCTTACCGGCTGGCGACGCCCTTGGAATGACATATATTCCGTAAAGTGCTACAGAATGAAATAATCTATCATCTGATTACAGAATAAACACTCGTGACGACATCTCTGTTTTTAATATCTAACAAATTTTAGACCGATCCAACCTCACTTTCTTCCAATTAAATTATTTTTCTATCGTATTTTTTAAAAACGTAGAAAAAGTATAGTCTGAAACACGTTTGGAATTCCATATTCCGCTCTCGTGAAACCGTCAAACTCGCCTTCGGCTCGTGTGACAAACTCTTCACTCGAGCGGAATATGCTGTATTCCAAACTTGTTACAGAATATACTATTCTATATGGTTTACATGTATAATCCTCTATTTGGACCTACATGTATACAGAGTGAGTCATTTAAGTTGAAACTTTGAAATATCTCAGTATTATGCATTTTACGAAGAAATGTTTAAAATAAAAATTAAATGATTCGAGTGGGGAAATCAGTACTAAAATTGGTCCTCATACTCTCATCCTTATGGGGGAACAGGGGGTTACTTTTAAATTTCCAATGGAACACCCTATTTTTATTGCAGGATTCGGATCATTCGACAAAAAATAGGTAGATTTTGTCTAAATTCTTTTTACATATTTGTAATAGATGACGCTGTAATAAAAAAATCAATTTTGTTTGACTTTTCTTCTGTATACTATACATAGTATACGATTCTGCAATAATTGTTCTATAAAACTCACTTTTTTGGTAATAATTATCTTATTATATTAAATCTGATTTTTTTAAGTACCCACGGTTTTTTAACTAAAATTTAAGTTTCCTTTGGTTTAAGTTTTATACATTATTTTATTCGGTGATAATTATCAATTGCGCACCATGGTCACTTTTTACCTGCCAACATTAAATCCTTTAATTTAAAGGATAATTGTACTATATTTAATAAAAATACCTCATTTAAGGTAAAACAAAAAACATTATTTTGTCAATTAATTAATTTAATCCTAATTGAGGTACAAAAAAATGGTATTTAGTTATAAATAATAATTATTATTAAGGTATAAAAAAACTATTTATAGTTTAGCATTATTTAATCAATTTTTTTCGAGATTCATTTGCAAACAAAAAGAACTCTTTTCGTTAAACAGTTATTCATAATGTATTTTTTAACAATGGAAGAAAAAATAGAAATAATTTTGATTTATAGAAAAGCAGGCAGAAATCTGGATGATGCTGTTAATATCTACGCTCAGCGTTTTCCGGATAAAATTCGATCACGTACTTCATTTCACCGTACAGTCAAGCAGTTTACTACAAACGGGAGTGTTCAACCGAAAAAAAGAGTTCGTCAAGCAACAGTCACAGGTGGAAATAATGAAATTAATGTATTAGCAGCAACGGCCGGTAATCCTCATGCAAGCACACGAGAATTATCTAGAGATTTGAGAATATCCCAGAGCAGTGTTGCAGAATATTAAAACGAAATGCGAATTAATAAATGCATTGAAGTCAAAGTCAACCATTTTGATCACCTACTTTAATTAAAATTTAAAAAATTAAATAAATTTAAAAAATAAAACCAAGTATTTTATTCAAAAATTATTGGAGAATCGTATCCAGAATAAAAATCGAAAAAAAATGATTTTTTTCATTACAGCGCCATCTATTACAAATATGAAAAAATGTTTAAAAAAATCTACCTATTTTTAGTCGAATGATCCGAATCTGCAATAATTTAAATTAATAATTAATTTTAGTACTGATTGATTGTCCCCCTCGAATCATTAAATTTTTATTTTAATTTTTTTTTCGTAAAATGCATAATAACTGAGATATTTTAAAGTTTCAAGTTAAATGACTCACCCTGTATATCGTTTTCTACAAATGTACCAACTTTTATGTGGTTATATAGTGAAATGCTTGTTTCAAATGCATATTAGTAATAAACTACATAGAAACAAAATAAAAGCCAGATAATTTTTTATATGTTTCTATCTAGCATTTTTAACAGGAAAGGTACAAAACTTCCTACTGTGTTACTGAACGTAACTGTCTTAATGTTAAGGTCTTCTTCGCCACCACCAGAGCTGTTGCAAGTACCCTACTATAGTACAATAACCAGTATCATAATATTTCATTTAACTTCCAGTACCAGTATCCAGTATTTAATAAATGTACTTACAGTACCAAGTAAAGTACTGGAAATTGTAAAAAAACCAGTACCAGTACCAAGTACTCATAAAGTTATGGTTTTAAATACTTATAAGTAATTTTGATTACTGCCAGTAATTTTGATTACTGCAAGTAACTTTGATTACTGCAAGTAATTTTTGTTACTGCAAGTAATTTTTATTACTTACAGAATTTTCAGTACTGGTGATATCAGTATCATATTCATAAACATATTATAATAAATTTTTGAATATAATTTTACTATATTTAAGAGAGATATTTAAAACTTAGATATTTATAATTTTTTGCAAAACAATCTTAATTTATCTGCAAGTATTCAAAACAAAAAACTGAGGTGTAGGTTCAACTTTTTCTTATGAATATTACCAGTGATGGGTCAAGAAAATTGAATGTTTATTATAATTGCAAGAATTATTTCAAATTTGATGAGGAAGGCAGGTGCCAGGTGGCAGAAAATAATAAAACATACCATGGTGCTGTTCTGAGAGGTGATTTTTGGACTTTCTGTGAAACCTAATTTTTTATATATTCTTGTTAATTAGGTCATAACTAAAATTTTAAGAGCAAAATAAACGTGTAGGTATACTAATTACACTATACCTACTATATATAAATTATATAAAATAAACTAGTTTAAACTGGTATTTTCTTGGAATACTGGAAATGTTCTAAAAGTACTGCCAGTCCTTTTCATCCCTTCCAGTAATTAAAATACTGGCAGTATCGTTTTAAGTGTTTCCGCATTACCAGTACTTTTCCAAGTATCCAGTATTACTTTTTAATAAAAATCTGAGAAACCAGTACCCAGTACCAGTATTTTCAAATTGTACTTGATATCCCAGTACCAGTAACATAAGTATAAGTACTGGCAATAGAGTACTTTAAGTACTGAAAGTACTCAGTACCATACTTGCAGTATTTTTTCTACTGAGAACCACAGCTCTGGCCACCACTAATAAAAAATCCAAACAACCTGTTAAGCTTATTATATATACTTTTTCGTTTTTCATTTTGCTAATCAATTTGTCAATTATGACATTGTATTTATTCTGAAATTTTCTCTGCCAAGTCTACTTATTCTTCTCGGGTTTCATTTTTTTATTTTTGTTTTATCTTCATAATGAGGCACATCATTTTTATTTAATTAAAACATGCTGTTTTCATTTTCAAATTAAAAGCTTTCCTTTATTATTTTTTTTTAAATTTGCCGCCTCCAGATTTTGCTGCCCTGTGCTATAGCCCCCATATCCCCCCCTAAATCCGCATCTGCACATATCCTGTATATTAAGTTAATTAAGTTAACTTAATAAAATAAATTGAAAAAAACAATACTTAAAAATTAAAAAAAGATTATTTGGGCAATTATGGCTGGTTAACACATACCTTTTTTCATGGCGAGCAGAGACGACACGACGAGAATAGGGGAGCTCCACGATAAGCTCACCACCCATACTATAAGTATCATTTTGACGGCGTGAAATTGCGTTTGCCATCGACGAGACTTAAGCGGGCGGCAAATCGCGAAGTACCGTTCCAAGGAGATTGCAACCAGGGTCCAAACGGCTACAGATACCGAAACAGCTACAAATAAAAAACACAAATAAAATGTAATATCCAGGTTGTTCTAAAATTTTAAAGTTTACAAGAAAATATTGCAAGAAAAGTTCTAGTTTATTTTATATACATATAAGTAGGTATACTTAAAATTATTTTTAGTTAATTGCCAGTATACATTTTTCTAAAAACTATTTAACTATATTTAGTGATTAGTTTTTTGTAACGTTTCTGTAATAAGTAATTTAGACAAAACCCCCTAAGTTTTTTGGAAAATTAATTCAATTTGAAAAAGTGACAAGGTTATTAATGTAGTCTTAGCGGCGAATGTTTTACCTTGCGGCATCAATTTCTGAACTAAGCACAAACATTAAAATTGTTGTTTTCTTTTACGAATGTAATTCAAGGAACCGCTAGCACTAGTTTGTTGTTGGTGCGGTTTGGTTTTTGTGACGTTCTCAGGGGCGTTTGTCATTGATATTTATTATTAAATATCACAAAAACCGAACCACAGTAACAACAAACTAATATAAAATGTCAATTTGATATTTCATATTAAAATATTGTTCTTTATATATTTCTATCATTTTCACGTTTTTTATCTAACTTGATGCACCTTGATGGTATCAGCTCTGAAAGCCATTTTTTTTACTATTTTCACATATTTTTGAAAATTTTAAGAGAATGGCTTTTATTATTATTATTATTATTATTATTACTATACTTATTTTTTTACTGGATTAATAAAGTTCATTTTTTTATCTGGCCTGCGGCAACGTTGAAAATTTAAGGTTTTGGTTGGTAAATACAGTTGTCAAGTTGGTCGCATTGATTAAAAATCTAATTGTGGTTATGTATAAATTATTGTAGGTTATATTGTGCAGTTGTCAAGTTGAGTTGTCGTAGTTAAAAATGCAATTAATTTGGCTTTTGTGGTGCTTGGATGAGTAAAAACATATAAAAAAGTAGTTAAATTTAGGTTGCTTTACGGCCCAGAGGAGAAAGTATTCCTAGCGGATAATAATCTTCGCTTTGAAAAAAATTTATATAAAAGAAATTAAAATTTTTTGTGAACGTAAATGTTGTCCAATGGTGAATAATGTGAAAATAATGTGTGATGTAATATTTATAAAACCAAATTCGTTACTTTTTTACTCCAAAAATGTCCATAAGGCGATGTACTTTTTCTTCCATTGTGGCATTTGGCATAAATTCATCAAAATGAAGTTTTGCCCTTTACATTCGAATTCGTTGCTATTATTTTTGGCATAATTATCTTTTTATTTATAATTGACAAGTAAATTATTAATAATAAATATTATTGTCAATTTGACAGTGTCAAAGTATTTAATTAAATTACAATTAAAGTACAATTTTTAAATACTAAAAATACTAAGTCAAACTGGCATAAGCCACCAACCTAACAAAAAAACACGAGTCCAGATAAAAAAAATGAACTGTACGTAATTTTACCATTGGGCCTAAAATTTAGTTAATGTAAACACGGGCAGCAAACTTTTGCTTAAAATTTTTGTGGTTTTAACAATAATAAACATTAAATATTATAAACCAAAATTTAAGTTTTGAGTTGCTCTTTCATAATACCATATTATAATATTACGTAGGGCAAGTTTTAAAAATAAAAACTGGGTGTGCAAAGTTATCTTCTGGTTGCGGGTCACTTTGTCTCACAGTGTATTTTCCCTATAAAATTGAATGGATATTTTATTTATTTTTTTAATTCGACATTTTAGCAGCGATGACAGGATCTCCCAAAACTTGCGCCATAGAGATAAAGGCAACGTGCCGAAAGTAATGCGAAAAAAACTTGAAAATTAAAATTTTATGAAGCAAAGGATAAGCGAGATAAGAATAAAAAACGATACCCAATTCCAATACATGGCCATATGAAATTCTTTAAATTGATAGAATATGCATTTTTAATATTATAATATGTAAAATATTTGGTCAACTGGAATCCACTTCATTGTGACACGACAGTCAATTTTTGTTCCTGTAATTATTTATCATTTTAAGTTATGTTTTTCTCCTCGGAGTATGCCGAAATGATGATTATCACGAATTTTTTCCCAGCGCTTACCCGCGTTGTAACGATATTAAAGGTGCTCCTTAACGTATTAGAACAGCGGAAAACAAAAAAGCTATTTTCAATGCCTTTAATGCAAATAGTAGGAAGAGCATAAGGAAAGTTACACGCGAATCGAAAAAATTACTATAAGCTCAATTTTAACCTTAAATAACTTTAAAACCAGTAAATTTATCGAAAAATCATAAGAGAGCTTTTTTGTACAGCGTTTAATTATATAAAAATATGTATTGATTATTGCAATATATTATCTTGCTCGGGAGAAAAAAAATAAATGTAAAACTTGCCAAAACTCCATGTTATTTAAATGGAAAATGGATCTTCTTTGTGGCACAGTTTAATATGAATAAATTTTTTTTAATATTTTAGGTCATAAACTAAAAATTTAGGGGGCGCTGCGAACAAAAACCAAGTTTGTAAATAACGGACACCCTAGTGTACATCCCCCTTTATATCAATAAAGAGAAAAGTCATCCGTCATTAATTAGTGGGAAAGTAGGTAAAATTAATTTGCAACGCATATAATATAGTTTGTTTTTGTTTTAAGAAATATAATTTTTACGGCTAAAGTAAAATTTAATATATCTTTACGTTTTCATCAGGTAGTAAAACAATTTTGCGACTGTCTATATGAGTAACGATAAATTTCTTTTATTTTGACATATACAAAAAGTTTCGAATAGACTACATAAAACAAAGATGAATATAAATGATCCCTTTATCAACCATTTAAATAAACATTTAGAGGATATTGAATATTTTTTTATGTGTAAGTAAGACTTATTATTTTTGTCTCGTCCTACCCAAACTTGTCCATTTCTATGCATATTGGAGACACCTAGTAATTTAATACTTTTTATTAGAGTGGTTGGATGGTTATTGGATTTTTTGTAAACCTGATATTAAAATATAGTTTGGATTGTGATGATAAGACTAATACATTAAAAAAAATATATTTTGATTTTTCCAATTTAATTTCCTAAAAGTACTTATATTACATCTGTTTAATTATAGCTCTGGTTTATTAATTATAAAAAAAACATTATAGCAAGGAAACGTCAACGAAATTATCTGCCCTTATTTTTTCGAAGAGCGGTTACCGTAAATTCAGAACACCACATGCAAATGATAAACAACTTTCTTTTATGTTAATGTACGAAGAAGACACAAAAGTTGTAATGGAGCGGTCTCGTCAACTTTTCCAAATAAAATGATTGTAAAAAGAGGCACCCCAATGTCACCCCATTGGATTTTTATTGATTTGCATTAAAACCTAAGTTTAAAAGAATGTGTCAAGCAATTTATCGAAAAAATTAGATAAGGTTACTAAAATTTCTAAAATAACCATCCTTCAATCTTCTAAATTTAGTCCTTTTAATTTAGTTCATGAATTAAATAAGGAAGATTTTGACCGGTGACTGAAGTTTACCGAAATTATGACTGAACAAATAGCTGATGATGACAATTTCCTTTTTAACATCTATTTTTAAGACGAGTGTACGTTTATTTTAACTTAACTTTTAATCTCCATAATTGTCGTGACTGCTCAGAAACAATTTCAAAAATTTTCCACATAGCCAACTGTCAATCTCCTTAAAAACTTCAGGCCACGTTGGTACATTTGGCGTTTTCAACTTAAAAAATATATAATCTTTCAAATTTTTTTTTTAAATAGTGATATTATTAGATTTACTTTGCAAAAAAAATTAAAATCGAGCCGTTGTGGAGATATACATTTAAATGTGTTTTTTTATAAATTAATGCGCAACAGTAAGCTTAACATGTGTTCTAGTAAAAATGACCACAGCAATTCGCTATATATATATATATATATATATATATATATATATATATATATATATATAAATATATATATATATATATATATATATATATATATATATATATATATATATATATAAATATATATATATATATATATATATATATTAGGGTGTCCCAAAAAAAAAATAATATATTTTTTTTTCTTGTCTCTTGTAAAAATATGTTAGTTTATCATGCTGTGAGAGCCCTTTCAAAATATCAGCTCGATTAAAAATTTTCAAAAAGGTCAAAATTTTTTTCTCGTCTCGATATTATTTTTTAGGTTGAAAATAATAAAAATTCTGTAAATTTCAAATCCAAATTTTGATTTCTAAAGGTCGCTAAAAGTTCGTTGATATTTATATTCAGAGGTCGCTCGAAAACATTCAAAATACTCTACTTTGAAAGTTAAAAAAATCCTGAGCGAGCTTTAGAAATTAAAATATCGATTTGAAATTTTCAAAATCATTATTATTTTTAAATTAAAAATTAATATCGGAAAGAGAAAAAAAATTAAAATAAAAAAAATCCAATTTTTGACGATTTTGGTAATTTTTAAAAATCTTGAGTGACCCCTAAAAATTTTTTAATGGTGCTAATCTTTTGACAGGGCTCTTAAAACATGACAAACCAACATATTTTCACAAGAGACGAGAAGAAAAAAAATATTCTTTTTTTTTTGACACCCTAATATGTATATATATAATATATATAATATATATATATATATATATATATATATATATATATATATATATATATATATATATATATATATATATATATATATATATATATATATATATATATATATATATATATTGATGGTTTTCCGGGATCTGCTCCGTGTTGTCGGTTTTTGGTTCTTAAAAGAACCTTATGTCTGACGAAGTTTCGGTACAATCTCATGTACCATCTTCAGGTCTAATATGCTGGGCTGCTGTGGCTGCTCTGCTGGGAGTTTATACATATAACGCCAGTGGAACCCTAAAGCAGCACGTGTTCAGCTAAGGAAGATGTTTTTTTATTATTTGAAGACTGCGTTACGATGTTCTTCGCGTCTAACGTTGATACGTCTATTGGTCTGTCTCACGTA